ATGATATGTTCAAAATTAGTCTTTAACCAAGCAGGGCTGAACCCCAAAAGATGACAATTAATATCGAAAAAAAATTACATTTTATAAGAGTCGTTTCACGTATCCGAGGACCACTGTAGATATGAAATATAAATTTTGAAAAGAGCATCTCTTTTTTATGCAGAAAAAAATCGATTTCTTTTTATTGCGGAATTTTACAGTTTAGAGTTTGGATCGTCGATGGTATTCTTTCTAATCGACCTCTAATTTTATATTGAATGACAGGAAATCTCGCTTTTAATTGCCCGAAACAACGTTCAAGAATAACACGTTCTCGACAGAAAATGTTATTATAATTTTGCTGATGTTGGGTTGTAGGATTTCTCCAGGGAGTCATAATCCAAGGCGATGTAGAGTAACCATCGTCTCCTAACAATACAGATTCTTCTGTACTGTTTTTGAAAATGCTATATGTATATGTTAGAATTTTTGAAAATTCTGCTATCGTGTACAGACCTTGGCCATTAACAGTCTACGCTAGTAAAAATTTCTTTTGCATTACATGTTGCCTGTACGTTAATACAGGGGTATCCTTTTCGGTTTATACAGAATGTCCCGAAACTCAACGTCAAGCGGGCACCGGGTGAGAGGCCAAGAAAAAAATTCTATGTCTCTTAGTTAAGTAGTAATAGACATATTTTTGAAAATGTTAAAAATCGTTCCCGTACATCATATCATTAGGTACTACGGTCAGAAATGTTCGCAATTTAATAGTTATTTTTTAATAGTGTATTCCTCATGAACCATGCTACAATAGCAGTCACAAATCGAACAACAAAAGTCGTTAGTTTTGCAAGAAAAAGTATCAGTTTGATTGAGTTAAGGTTGAAAGAATTTATGTCTATTAAGTTTGACACACATTGTCAAAACATGAAATAATTTGTAATTGAGTGTAAAGCACTCCAAATAATACTAGTGTNCACATCCATATTTTTTGTCAACATTACACGTGGAATCAGGTGCGGCGCCAGATATTTGGACGCTACAGGCGAAAATGGATTTGGACGCTTTTGCCTAAAAAATGCACTTTGATTTATTTCTATTTATTTATTGAACACGTTGTAAATTGTAAAATTTGTAAAAAATTTATTCAAATTCTCGCCTTTTTGCTTCTAAAACCTCACAATGCACCTTTTATGTCTATAGATCTTGCAATATAATTGTCTATTGATAAAATTGCCAGACTTGATAACCGATTGTTGACCGAAGATACGTTTTAATTAATTTTAAACGAGAGAAACTTCTTTCTCCACTAACAGGAATTGTTAATAGGATTTTCAAAGCGATATAATTAAAGATTTGGATATATAAGAATTAAGTTGTTCAAAATATATTTCAAAACTTTATAAGGTGTATCACCTGGGTTTAAATGTTTTGAAATTAAACTCAACTCTTCCGCCAGCTGGATGCCGTCGATGTCTTCTCTATTGTTATGTGTAAGAGTAATCTCCAAATTCATACTTTGTTTTATGACGTTCTCTTTTTCCCAATTACTTAGGGCGGCAAGATTGTGCAAAAATACAAAATGTATTATTAAATAAGGATAACTGTTGAAAACGCTTTTCTATTGAATGAATCATTATGTTAAGTAAATTAAAATATACAGCAACTTAAAATTTTTGTGACGGATCTTGTATTGGGTTGTCAAAAGTTTTATTATTGAAATTGCGTTTTCGACGTCTTAATCTGATTTCTGTAAAGTTTGTTGTGTTAAATGTACAACGTTTACTGAATTTGCTAGTTCAGACGCTATAACTAACAATGTTTAATACTCTTCGTCACTTCTTAGCTTTTTTTAGATCATTTGCAACCTGTTCAATTGTTTCAACTGCTACAAAAACCGTGCACTTTGGACCTGTTCTGGTAAAAATAAGAAAAACATTCTATGTCTCTTAGTTAAGTGGTAATAGACATATTTTTGAAACTGTTAAAAATCGTTCCCGTACATCATATCTTTAGGTACTACGGTCAGAAATGTTCTCAATTTAATAGTGATTTTTTTAATAATGTATTCCTCATGAACCATGCTACTATAGCAGTCACAAATCGAACAACAAAAGTCGTTAGTTTTGCAAGAAAAAGTATCAGTTTGATTGAGTTAAGGTTGAAAGAATTTATGTCTATTAAGTTTGACACACGATTTCTAAACAAAGGACTAATGCAACACCCTTGGCAAGTGATTTTAAAAGATGGCCTGTTTAGTCAAGATTCCAAAATGGTATAACACTTACCATTTTTTCTTTTCCTAAAAAATATTATTGCCTGTTTTTCTGCCAAAAACGCGTTATTTAAAAAATTCTTACTTTCGTATGTTATTTGTATTTCCTCCAAAATGATTTAACAACTTTGTTAGAAGTTGCCACTCAATATCTACAGAGAAATGTGGTTTCAACAAGATGGTTGCCCAGCTCATTATGCTTGTCCTGTACGGGATTGCATAGAGAATACCCAGAAAGATGGATTGGGCATCGTGGTTCGATTACGTGGCCTCTTCATTCTTTGGGTGTAAATGCCCTTGATTTTCTTATTAGGATTGCATAAAAGAAACAGTGTATTAAAAACCGATTGAAAATCTTGCCGAACTGCGCCACAATATTTATACAGCAGCAGAAGAAATAAATGCAAAGAGATTTGTACAACTAGTAAAAAGGTCTTTTCTGTGACGATGCAGAGCTTGTATTAGTGCCGGCGGCAAATAATTTGAGCATTTTCCTTAGTTTTAAGAAAATAATGCTATAAAATTAATAATAAATAAACTGGTTTGTTTAATTTTGTCTTTAGGTTAACCTTATTTGAAAGAGTCTTTTTGCAAGACATAACGGCAACCATCTTGTTGAAACCACATTTTGTAGTTCGTAGATATTGACTGGCACATCTTCTAACAAAGTTAAGAAGAAATAAAAAGTAAATACAAATAACATACAAAAGTATGAATTTTTTAAAGAACGTGTTTTTTGCAGAAAAACAGGCAATAATATATTTTATGACAAGAAAAATGGCAAGTGTTGTACCAGTTTGAAAACTTGACTAAACAGGCCATCTTTTAAAATTACTTGCCAAGGGTGTTGTATTACTCCTTTTTTTAGAAATCATGTGTCAAACATGATTCATGTGTTTGATTTGTGACTTCTACAGTAGAATGGTTCATAAGGAATACATTATTAAAAAAAAACACTATTAAATTGTGAACATTTCTGACCGTAGTACCTAAAGATATGATGTGCAGGACCAATTTTTAACGTTTTCAAAAATATGTCTATTACAACTTAACTTACACCAGACATGGAATTTTTTTCTTATTTTTACCAGAACAGGTATGGGTTGGCCTCTCACCCGGTGCCCGCTTGACGTTGAGTTTCGGGACAACCTGTATATTCATCTCCGAACTCATGAAACTTTGGAATTCTAACATTTGTGCAGTCTATCGCACCCATGGCAGATGGAAAACGATATCTCTCTGACCATAACATTTTAGTTTCTACAAAATCTTCAGCACTTCTAGGAAATCTAATGAAAATATTAGCTTTTTCCAAAACTGCATGCTTTACGGAAGTAAATGTCTTACAGACAGTACTCTGATGAATACCGAGTTCTTTACGGACAGAATTTTGAAACCCCGGATCGTATAATTGTCGCAGAAAGATTTTCATCTGCTGTATAGGTGACAATGCAGCACCTCGCCTTTCACCACTATCAGTCAAAAAGTAATTTGCTAACCACTCAACATTTTCGCGAGCAAACCGATATAACTTTCTGAAATCATCGTCTCTGCAATTTTTACGTACACTATTTTTCGTTTACGCACATTCAATATTCAGCCATAATTAAAAAGACTTAAATGAATAGGAACTCACGTGTATGCCGTTGAGATTCAAAGTTGACTGTACAAGCAAATGATGCACACTGAGAAAAATGGTTTGAATACATAACTAGGTACTTCAAATTACTTAAAAAATTCATAGATAAGTTGTCTACTTTGTCAATTAACGTATCTACTCTAAATTGATGTTCCAATATATTTGAATTAGATAAAAAAAAAGAGTTGTTAAAATATCCATTTCATTTGGTAATGTATATAATGCACTTCGTTGTAATATTTATAATAGAAATTCCAAAAATTTGTGAGATAAGCCAACTATTATATAATTAGTTATATTATATAACTAATAGTTTCTGTAGATAATTCAACAACTTGTTGCAGATTGAACAACCATCTTAGTAGATAATAATCACAAAATCGGTGATTTTCTCAACCATAATTTCTTTACATTAATCAAAATTATTTCGATATTTTATCGATAAAAGTTATTAATCTACTAAATTAAATTATTTTGAACGTCTACAATTATAGAAAATGAATATGAACTCACGTGTATGCCGTAGAGATTCAAACTTAACTGTACAAGCAAATGATGCAGGGGTCGACCTACCTTACAAATATGTAAGCAATTGCCATACTAGAAAAGGCAATTTCTTAGTTTATTCATAACATTTTAAGCATATGTAAGCAATTGCATCTATTTTTTAAATAAATAATTCGACTAGAAGCAATTTCTGCACTTTCAAGCAATTGCTAGCAGCAAGAGTAGTTACTTTAGTAGTTTCAAGTTGATTTCAAGTATTTGCTTTGATTTTGCAAGAAAAAGCAATTACTCAATTTTTATTCATTAGGGCCACTGTCTCTAATTTTGTAACATGCACACCCAATCAATACCAAAACCTTAAAATTTGAATTAAGAAATTAAGAGTAAAAGTAAGAAGTTTAAAATAATTTCATTAACAATATTCAAATTAAATTTAAGAAATAGCTCCATCTATGAGTATGACTTAAAACTTCTCAAAACCATTCATGTCAGCTAATGACATTAACCAGTAATCCCAGTTTATTTCATGATGCTATAAATCCAAAATAAAATCAATATGGAAATTCTTTTATTTATAATACATATTTTATTCATTTTATTATCATATTTTTTTAATATTTAAAGAAACCAATTTACTTACCGCCATCTATAATCCAAGCGCAAAACTTACAATCCTAACCTAAAACAACCGTAAACAAACCAACTACGCATGCGTTAATCAAACAAGTTTTTTTGAAAAAAGCAACGTGCTCGAAACCCAACGGTTATTTCTCGAACGTTGCATCAAAACAAGGTCGATTTTACTAAATAACAGGTTGATTATCCATTCGGGATGAGTACAACAACAGAAATCGAAGAGACAACGGCAAAGAAGAAACGATCTCCCGACGTTTATAAACGATTCCTGGAGGAAACACTAGAAAAAGTCGCCAGCAGCGTCAGGTAAACTAGTGTCAATGCCCCTCTCACTTACCTCTTTGTGTTAAAAATTCTTTCATAACGGCCACGACCCGGACCATCATCGTCGTCATCGACGATTTCTTAATATGAGGTAACAATCAGGTCGCGTCGGGTTGCTTTATGTATTTTTATTATCATATTGCACCCGTCCCGGCCTGATTTTCTTCCTTATAAAACTTCAGCACAAACACAATTCATAAGTATTATTGTATCGATCGATATGGTCTCTTTGGTTGATAGTTTATATTAATTTGATTCTTTTTGCAGTCATGAAAGATTTCACGACATTTTTCGACCATTAACATCTAATACGTGGGAAACTTACGAATGTTTTCAACAAGGAATTGTGAAAAGTATGCATAATGTTATCGATAGTTTATCAAAGAAAGGAAGTATTGATGAAAAAATTGATAAATTAAAGGGAATATTAAAAGAAGATTTGATTGTTTGTGATGATGAAGCTTGGTGAGTTAATATTGATCTAAAGATTTTTAATAACTTTATTCTAATAATTTAATTGGATAGAATCATGTGTATAATATGTAAAATTATTATATCTATATCAGATAACAAACAGTCATAACCCCACATTTTGTTTTTATGGTGAAACATCATAAGTTAAATATTGTTTGTAGCCAATATTTTTAGTTTTCAAAATATACCTATATCAATTTATTAGTGCGGTAAAGAAACAAATCTCCATGAACTAGTGTTCCGTTTAAAGTGTTATGATGTGTTAATGTGAACTATTTATTAAATATTTTTTAACATAGAAAGATAAGAAGATTAAAAGTAATGGAATTTTATGAAAAATTGTTGGTAAAAGAGTGTACATACTTAATAATGGATCAAGTGAAAGTGGTAAATAAAAGCCAATATAAGTTAGGTTACGTCTTCATTTCCAATAATATTTGAATATAAAGTTTTATTTTAAACAAAACCATTTTTTATTTACAATACTTATTTCATAAACTCTCCTTTTTTTGCCCAGCCATCTATTTCAATGTGCTTCATTCTTAAATATATTGTGGTAATGAGTGTTTCAAGGGCTCTTACTATAGGCTACCTATCAACATAAGTGAGGATGAGAAAAATTTCAAGATAGATTTTACAATGATGAGCCTTGAGCTACAAGAAAAAGAACATAAAGAAGTACAGGCTGTACAGGAAAAAACATCAAAAAACAAGTAATGACATTAAAATAAATTTTGTTAATGGGCCAAGAAAACCCATCAGACTACAAAGAATCTAAGGCAACATTAAGAAGTAGTGTCTGACCAACACTTTATTATATAATTGATATAAGTCATCTTCCTAATTGGATAGAATCGTGTATACAGGGTGTATCAGGTATGAGTAGAAAAAATTTGAGGTGTTATAGGTCCCCTTTTTGTGAATAAAAAATTCTTATAACACAATGTCCCATTCTTTGCCATTCTTAAGATATGATATGATAAAGATAAGGGTTTGAAAGTTTAAGTACTGCTGTATAAAGAATTATACTAAGCAGGCTTTGCTTATGTATATAGCTAAGGTCTATAGAACATAAGGCTACCCAATACCGATTCTCCTCCTCTGAGAGGCAAGGTGGGTCAGTGACGTAGCTGGTTCTATGAACAACACAACACGATACGAGGTTTAAATATTTTATATAGACTGTACCACAGTATAGGCACGTATAAGCTATCTTTTATTCTGACTGTATCGAACCAGTGACGTCAATCTGTGGGGTAATAATCCATACTACAGAGGCATAGGGAATGAGGTAACCTTATGTTCTATAAACCTTGGTATATAGCTTTAATTTGACACAAAAGTCATTTTTGAGATATTTTTTAGAGGTTGTTTACTTTATACAAATAAATTTATAACTTGTTTTATCACTCTTTAATGTGAAAATTTACAAAACTTTAGGTTTTAATAAATAAACTTGCTTATTTTATTAAAAACAACAAAATTACAAAACTAGAAACAAATTGCAAAGCAAAGCCTGCTTAATACAATTCATTAACCAGTAGTACTCAAACTTGTGAACTCTTAACTTGCTCGTATCATATCTTAAGAAGGACAAAGAATGGGACATTGTGTTATAAGAATTTTTTATTCAGAAAGAGGAAACGTATAACCCCTCCAATTTTTTCTACTCATACCTGATACACCCTGTATAATATGTAAAATTATTATATCTGTATCAGATAGGTAAACAGTTATAACCCCACATTTTGTTTTTATGGTGAAACATCATAAGTTAAATATTGTTTGTAGCCAATATTTTTAGTTTTCAAAATATATCAATTTATTAGTGCGGTAAAGAAACAAATCTCCATGAACTAGTGTTCTGTTTAAAGTGTTATGGTGTGTTAAAGTGAACTATTTATGAAATATTTTTTAACATAAAAAGATAAGAACATTAAAAGTAATGGAATTTTATGAAAAATTATTGGTAAAAGAGTGTACAGGGTGGGCAAATTTGGGTGTTATTATAGGCTATCTCAGAAACTATAAGAGATACGAAAAAAGTAGGTGCCATGTCCCGGTCTCTTTTTTCGAGACTAATTCAATCCCGCAAACATCAAACCTCTATCTTCTTTTGTTTTTAAGTTATAGTCAAAAAGTCAAATTTTCGTGATTTCAAAAAATGCTCATATTTCGTTTATTTTTGANAAAAATTTGAGGTGTTATAGGTCCCCTTTTTGTGAATAAAAAATTCTTATAATACAATGTCCCATTCTTAAGATATGATACGATAAAGTTAAGGGTTTGAAAGTTTAAGTACTGCTGTATAAAGAATTATACTAAGCAGGCGTTGCTTATGTATGTAGCTTTAATTTGACACATAAAAGTCATTTTTGACATATTTTTTTAGAGGTTGTTTACTTTATACGAATAAATTTATAACTTCTGTTTTATCACTCTTTAATGTGAAAATTTACAAAAATTACAAAACTAGAAACAAATTGCAAAGCAAAGCCTGTTTAATATAATTTATTAACCAGTAGTACTCAAACTTGTGAACTCTTAACTTGCTCGTATCATATCTTAAGAAGGACAAAGAATGGGACATTGTGTTACAAGAATTTTTTATTCAGAAAGAGGAGACCTATAACCCCTCCAATTTTTTGTACTCATACCTGATACACCCTGTATAATATGTAAAATTATTATATCTGTATCAGATAGGTAAACAGTTATAACACCACATTTTGTTTTTATGGTGAAACATCATAAGTTAAATATTGTTTGTAGCCAATATTTTTAGTTTTCAAAATATACCTATATCAATTTATTAGTGTGGTAAAGAAACAAATCTCCACGAACTAGTGTTCTGTTTAAAGTATTATGGTGTGTTAAAGTGAACTATTTATGAAATATTTTTTAACATAAAAAGATAAGAAGATTAAAAGTAATGGAATTTTATGAAAAATTATGGGTAAAAGAGTGTACATACTTAATAATGGATCAAGTCAATGTAGCAAATAAAAGCCAATATAAGTTAGGTTATGTCTTCATTTCTAATAATATTTGAATATAAAGTTTTATTTTAAACGTAACCATTTTTTATTTAAAATACTTATTTCATAAACTTTCCTTTTTCTGCCCAGTCATCTATTTCAATGTGCTTCATTCTTAAATATATTATGGTAATAAGTGTTTCAAGGGTTCTAGCTATAGGCTACCTACCAACATAAGTGAAGATAAGAAAGATTTCAAGATAAATTTTACAATGATGAGCCTTGAGCCACAAGAAAAAGAACATAAAGAAGTACAGGCTGTACAGGTGTCCCAATTTCGATGTCTGCATATTATTAACTTTTAAATACATACATTAGTTTTAGATAGAACAAAATGAATTTTTGTTAATTATTTTTTTAATAACTATAAGAAATATACCCCACAAACTATATATATTTGTTATCAGAAGAAAATAACAAATTATTTTAAGTCATAGCCAAGTATGGTTTCCATTTAAAAAAATAAAGTTACGTCTAAAATTTCGAAAATAAAAGACGGAGAAAAAATCTACCTACGCCACTGAATTCTTCGTAAAAAGTTGCCCATATAATATTTTATTTATAATACTCTATATCTTTGATAATAAGCGAGATATTCGCGATTGTCGTTTTCGCAAAATTTGCAGTTTTTGCCGATAGGGCGAAAACAAAAGACGATAACTATTAGAGTTTTCGGCATTAGCATTTTCTCGAAAAACGAGATCATGACATGTAAGCTACTTTTTTTCTATCTCTTATAGTTTCGGAGTTAGCCTATGCGGACATCGAAATTGGGACACCCCCTGTACAAGAAAAAACATCAAGAAACAAGTAATGACTTATTTTATTATAAAATCATTACACCATTCCCACCTTTATCTATTTATTTCTAAATCATTACAAACGACGTTTCAAGACTATTCCCATCATTAGGTTTAATAATTTTTGACGTCTAATGAAACAACAATTCAATGATTTACGTAATTACAATTATTTTACAATGAAAACATTTATTACACCCAAACCACAATATGTAGAATATGACTCTTACCAAAAACTTTTTTCAATTTTATCATTGATCGTCTTTTAATTTCTACCCATCTCATCACGCCTTTTGGAAGCAAAGATGAGATCCCAAATTCAGAAATATGACAAAAGCAGAGCTAAAATAGTTATTTTTGATACAAGATAGGGAAATGACACTTTTGTATTCGAGAACGAAAGTTCTTTTTTGCGAGCTTTAGCGAGCAAAAAAATCGTTCGAGAATGCAAAAGAATTTCGCTGTCGTGTATCAAACAACATTTTTTTTCGAAAACTGCATATTCTAAAGTTATAAATTAATAAAAAGACCAAATTCAGGATAATGACATTTAGAATTCATTTAATGTTATGTCAAAAACTTAACGTCACATCGATTTAACCTCACATATTGAACAAATGTACTATTATAAATTTGCATTTAAACATGAAATGAAATGATAAAACAATTANATAGAAAAAATTTTAGGTGTTATAGGTCCCCTTTTTGTGAATAAGAAATTCTTATAATACAATGTCCCATTCTTAAGATATGATACGATAAAGTTAAGGGTTTGAAAGTTTAAGTACTGCTGTATAAAGAATTATACTAAGCAGGCATTGCTTATGTACATAGCTTCAATTAGACACATAAAAGTCATTTTTGAGATATTTCTTAAATATATTATGGTAATGAGTGTTTCAAGGGCTCTAACTACAGGCTACCTACCAGCATAAGTGAGGATGAGAAAGATTTCAAGATAAATTTTACAATGATGAGCCTTGAGCCACAAGAAAAAGAACATAAAGAAGTACAGGGTGTACAGGTGTCCCAATTTCGATGTCTGCATATTATTAACTTTTAAATACATACATTAGTTTTAGATAGAACAAAATGAATTTTTGTTAATTATTCAATAACTATAAGAAATATACCCCACAAACTATATATATTT